ATAACCTATCATTACCAAAAGCAGTATTTGAAGAGAGGGAATCTAACCTGGTATCATTACCAAAAGCAGTATTTGAAGAGAGGGAATCTAACCTGGTATCATTACCAAAAGCAGTACTTAAAGAGAGGGAATCTAACCTGGTATCATCATCAAAAGCAGTATTTGAAGAGAGGGAATCTAACCTGGTATCATTACCAAAAGCAGTATTTGAAGAGAGGGAATCTAACCTATCATTACCAAAAGCAGTACTTAAAGAAAGGGAATCTAACTTGGTATCATCATCAAAAGCAGTATTTCAAGAGAGGGAATCTAACCTGGTATCATTACCAAAAGCAGTACTTAAAGAGAGGGAATCTAACCTGGTATCATCATCAAAAGCAGTATTTCAAGAGAGGGAATCTAACCTGGTATCATTACCAAAAGCAGTATTTGAAGAAAGGGAATCTAACCTGGTATCATCATCAAAAGCAGTATTTCAAGAGAGGGAATCTAACCTGGTATCATTACCAAAAGCAGTATTTGAAGAGAGGGAATCTAACCTGGTATCATTACCAAAAGCAGTATTTGAAGAGAGGGAATCTAACCTATCATTACCAAAAGCAGTATTTGAAGAAAGGGAATCTAACTTGGTATCATTACCAAAAGCAGTATTTGAAGAGAGGGAATCTAACCTATCATTACCAAAAGCAGTACTTAAAGAAAGGGAATCTAACCTATTATTACCAAAAGCAGTATTTGAAGAGAGGGAATCTAACCTATCATTACCAAAAACAGTATTTGAAGAGAGGGAATCTAACCTAGTATCATCATCAAAAGCAGTATTTCAAGAGAGGGAATCTAACCTGGTATCATTACCAAAAGCAGTATTTCAAGAGAGGGAATCTAACCTGGTATCATAACCAAAAGCAGTACTTAAAGAGAGGGAATCTAACCTGGTATCATCATCAAAAGCAGTATTTCAAGAGAGGGAATCTAACCTGGTATAATTACCAAAAGCAGTACTTAAAGAGAGGGAATCTTACCTGGTATCATCATCAAAAGCAGTGTTCCAAGAAAGGGAATCTAACCTATCATTACCAAAAGCAGTATTTGAAGAAAAGCAGTCTATCTTTCAAGTGAACGAATTTTGGAAAAACTATGTTCTTAACAAACCACCAGAAAGTCAACTCTCATGAATAGGTGTTTTAAACTGTTGGTCACAGGAATCTAAATTCAGTTATTTCTGCTGAGGGTAGTTTTGTTTACAATAGATCCAAAATTGAAGAAACAATGTAGAAAGGAAAGAAACACGACTGAAAAAAGTATATATTCCACAAGGGAATATGCCTATTGCAACTGTGAACAGAAGTTATAGTCTACATTTGAAACCCCTAATTAATGCTATGCACTGAAGTGAAATACTGTAAAAATAAAACATGAAGGTATCTTAAAATATAAAACTGACACTGATAAAACATAGGTTGTATACATACCAGTTTTTTTCTTTGTTGTTTTGGAAGCTGAATCACTATTCTGGGAGTTGATACTACAAGAAACAACAACATAATGATGCATAACACCACTTCAAACAATTAGTTCACAAAATTTGAACACAAGACAAATACAATAACATTTTTTAGAGCATCTCAGTTAAACTTTCACAAAATTTTTATGCATTAATGTTAACAAAAGGTTATTTATAAAAATAGCAGTTGTTTTCATGGTAAGCTACAAAACTTGTACCATATTTGTTATTCCAACTGAAATCACTGATATAGCAGGTTGTAATAATACGAAGGACAAGTTCAAGAAAGATAAAAGAAATGTTACGTATCTACTCGTTTGTTAATTTCCGGTAATAATTCTTTCCGAGGAACTTCAGAGATACAAGTCCTTTCTTAATTAAAACTAGTTAATTCTTTCTTGATACAACTTATTAGTACACAGAATTTCCACAGTCACTTTAAACTTAACAACCTTTATAACACACGCTATAAATCATAGTGATTCACACACACTTTACTAACTGTGCCTACTGTTCGCTTGACTAAATTATCTATCTCTTCAATCTATCTGCTTATATGTATCTCTTCAATCGCGCTGGTTTTTCTCACCAGGCTTATATACTAAAAAGAGGGCACCTGGCAAACACGCGGATATTTGCCGAGTTCCTCGATAAGTCATGATCCTTCTAAAAACTCAGGTGCGCATGCTCTCAGCATTGCGTGACTTCCGCTGTCGTAACACTGCCCCTTCCTTAGTACTGTTCATCCCGAACAATAGCATCTTACATTAAACTAATAGATAATTAACAATAACTTGATTAAATGTACAGAATTTACAAAAAAAAATTAAAATACAACAAAGTCTCTTAATTTTACAGGACGTATCTTCTTCCGTACTGGTCTCATTGGCTTCTGCTT